CAAGGAAACAAAGCAATGTCTTATTTCTAATTTGGATTTATCTGGTTTCTTCTTCTATGTACTTACTGCCTTTCTCTGCTAAGCTAAAGAGCCCACTTGTACTTGATACTTTGACTCTGCTATCAAGATACCTCTCTTTCTCTTTCTTTCTTTTTTCCAAAACTTGACAAATCAAGCTCTTACTGACTTTCCCTCCATACTTTATCCAGACCTTAGAGACTTGAGGTTGTTTTGTTTTTCTTTTTAATACCGTCTCTTCAGTTGCTGCTGGTTGGTTTATTATCCTATTGAGAAAACAGGCAGCAGAACCATATTGTCAGTATCAGCATCAGTGAGATGGAGGTCACCTTCCTATTGCTGTGCTTACTGGAGGTCATTGGTCCTCTTTCTACCTCACAAGAGTGGAGCTCGTGTTTGTTACTTTTGTATTAGACCTTCTGAGAACAGAGCATCCCTTGCTGTCCGTGGATGCCTATCATTCCACTGTCTTAAGCCCCATTTTCTTTGAGTGAATAGGACTCAGCTTAACAAGTAAATGAGATGGTTTATGAGGAATGCCCTGTTTTCTCTCTCTTTCTGTCTTTTCCCTTTCCAACATTCTTTTTATTGTATCTAAGTTTGTCAACGCTACTTTATGAATACTTCTACACCACAGATTAAAATATTGAACAACTGTGGTCCTGGTCTGATCACAGAGGAAATCCACCAGGAACATACCAAGTGATGATTTCCTATTGTCACCTTCTTCGTGAGATCTTTATTTTGGCAGCTCTTCCTAACATGAGTGTTGTTAATATAGTAATATAGCATTAATTGCAAATAGTGATTATAATTAATACATTACATTACAATTAATAATGTGAGAAAATACAAATATTACGGTAAAGACCCTTTACACACATGCATTTGCCAGCTAAATATGTAGTCTCTTAATGAAAGTAGGTTTCTTACATTGTTTTCCTTAAAACTCAATCAATTAGCAATAACTAAATTTGACATTTTTTCTTCTCTGAAACTCATGTGAGTTTTTTTCTCTGCTTTGCCTGTTGTTGTTGTAACTGTAGTCAGTGTTTTCCAGGTCAACCTGCTTGCCATTTTTAAACATGGCTGTGACGCTAGCACATATTTGTACTTTCCCAGACAATTTGCGATTTATTAGAAAGTTGATACCAGTGGGCGAATGAGTTCCTTAACAAATTTGTTATGGCTCCTAGGCACAGCTTCTCATGGCCTAGTATTTATTAACATTTCCTTAATACTCCATAGTACTTCTTTATCCCTTGGGATACAAATGAGAAAGACATAAACTTCAGTCTGCATCATGGATAGGAGTCAGGAGGTTGGCCAGCCAGATGCCAGTACAGGGAATTAGGGTCAGGAGCTGTTTTTTGTTGGTTTGTGTATTTGTTTTATATCTGAAGTTGACTTTCTGTGGAGTTTCATGGAAAGAATGCAGAAGCCTAGAGATATTTTAAACTGGCTTGCACTATTTTTGAGTAAGTCAGAAAATCCTTTAATAGCTCAAAATGCAAGAGAAAGGCTTTGTGTATCTAAACCAGAGCCTCCAGTAAACTGTCAGCTTCTGTGGCTGTTAAGGTCTTTTCTAGAGCTGCACCAGTTCTGATGTCGAAGTGGAAGATCCCAGTATTCATATTTACTCCAATCCTGCATTTTGTGACTGTTTTAAAGACTGTCTGTGGGCTGTTCCTAACAAAAAAAAGTGGAGGGATGGTGGGACAAAATTAATGGCAAATTCTTTTAGTTGACTGGGATTTGTGAAGTCCTGGGATTCAGAATACCCAACTGGAGTAAGCAGTCTGGGCTTTCTTGCAGTTAATAGAAAATAAGCTTGTTTCAGGTCATGAAGGTTTTTGCAGAGGAAATACCAAATACTTCATTGAAAGATGTTTGGCCTTCTAGCCCCGGGAGTTGACCATAGCTCTAGATCACAGCACATAGGCCTATTGGGGAGTTTCCTGTCCTTATGGAATCTCATCAAGTTTTGCACATTTGAGCTGTGGTTTTTTTTTTTTATCATTTTCTAAGAAAATGAGATTTCTGCAGCCATGCACTCTCTCAGCCTCCCCTTACACTCCTGACCCAGCCTGGCGAATACTTTTTTGAACCATTGGCCAATTTTACACTAAGTCCTAGTAGTCCACGGTTTCATGAATACTATTGGCTAAATAAAGGAGAGTGACCCAAATGATCTCATTTTCCCTTCACTCCTCCAGTGAGGGCAGAACACCACCATTGCATCTGGTACAAGCAACAACCCCACCAATCCTCAGGTACTTTGTGCTGTTCCAGTGCAGTTGCTGGGTGGTATGAAGAAGGGAAGAGAAATAGGAAACAGATTATTGCTGCAGGGAGGTGCAAGTCAGGAGAAAAAGAATGCAGCCCTTGAAAAAACCAGATTTCCTTCATCCTCCTTCTCAAAAAATGGCTTCATTAAAATTCAACACATATCAGTATTCTTTTGGAATGAGTAAGGCTGAGATTATTTCATGAGGACTCTGTTTCCAGTGGAATAAGCCAAACACAGCTTTGATCACACCCCTGCCCCGCAGCCTGGCCAGGGCTAGAATCTAAAAGCAAAACTAACAGAGCTCTAAATGCACAAGGCAAGTCGAGGATCATGATGAAAAAACCCTAGGATTTGCTTCTAGGTTTATAGTGTAAGAGTGGGGAAAGACTTACTGTGAAGGAGGGATGTTTCTGTTTGTATATGCTGCATAAGGAAGTGTTTCTCATTAGGTGTTAGCTTATACTGCTGCAGTATGCTGTATGGACAACCCTGCAGCAGTGTGAACGGTGAGGAATGGCCCAGTGTCACGTTAGTCTTCAAAGAGCTGATCAGCATGCAGGTGAGGAAGGGCTTTTGAGAGGGAGGAAACTCCAGCAAAAATGAAAATAAAAGCAGCTTTGTTGCAGTCCCTTAACAGTCCAATTATCCTTACAAGCCAGACTCCTTCCCTGCAGTAAGGTGGCCAGAGATCTCCTTCAGATGTACTTTGTTCCATAGTTTGTTCTGTATGCAATAGCATTTTTAGATTTTAATGTCTGATCTTTTCTAATCATGTTATGTAGGTTTATACAAATTCTTAGACTGGAAGTTATCTTTGGCCTGCTCTCCAGTTGTCTCTTTAAACAGCAGAGACATGTTGATTTATATTTGCTAGATGCCTGCAAGAATACTTTTCTAGTGTCCCTCCTCCATTTGGAATGGAACTGCAGCTCGTGACATTTTTGGCTTAGCCTGACTCATGGAGATGATTTGCCTCAGGGAAGGCACGTGGCTTTTCTTTTCACCCTGTGGTTGGCTGAGCAGAGCATATGTGAGTGAAGGGTCAGTTTGCTTCTGAGATAGTTTTCACATTGTTTCTCAAGGGGAAAATTGTCATTTTTTAGAGCTTCTTGGTTTTGTGGAGGATGAGGAGGTGGGAAAAATTCATTTTCTTCTGACCTCAGTGTGTGTCTGTCAAACCAAATTTGCTGGGAACCATTTGAATGTTTTTATAAGATTTGTCTTGAATAATAACATTCAGTTTTACAATGAGGGAGAATCTGAATGCCAAAAGCATGATTGCCATGTCAGAACTGAGGTCTAGTCTCCAAGGGGAGCCAGTCAGTTCTCAAAGTTCTTCTGACAGAGGGGTGATATTTTCAAGGACTAGTGTCACCTGTGCCTGTGCCATCTCCCACATCACAAGGGATATGTTTGAGGGGGAGCCTGGGATCAGGAACTCTGGAAGCCAGAAGGCAGCCTCTAGTTAACATAGAGAGAAAGGTGGTAAATAGCAAGTGATGCTGGGAAATTTCCTTACGTCTCACGACACAGGGGAAATGTCTAAAAAAACCCCTCCATCTATCTAATTTTGCCATTAATTAGGAGAGACTGTGAGAATGGTAGATGGAGGGAGAGGGGAAGGTATTACTGTGGCCGAACTAAGTGAAGGATGGAGGCATTCTGGACAAGCTAACAGCCATGGATGGAAGTGCACTATGTCTCAGGCTGGGTTTAGGGGACAGCCCAGGCTTTCCAGTGAGGAAAGAGAAAGTAAGCCCAGCTTTACCGTCACCAAATGAGGAATATTTGAAAGGGGAAAGTCTAGAGTCTTTTAACTGGGATATTCCCTGGAGAGCAAAGTACTTTGGCATTTCAAGCAATGCAAGCAAGCGTAAGGAGTTAGGCAAACCACAGTTCTCCTTCCTCATCCCCCAGCTACTGGGAACAGCTTCTGTTTTGGTTCACAGAGTTTTATTTTTTAAGAGGAAATGTATTTCCCTTGGGTCATACCAAGCTTCCCTTGGTAACTACAGAGCTTATGTCGCATCCTGTTTCTGCAAACCAAATGTAGTCAAATTTTGCTTTTTGTTTGAAAAGAAATGGAGTTGAGGCAGTGACAACTTTGCCACGGATATATTGGACTTTCTAACAGATGTTTTATAATATCAGACACTTGTTCTCTGAGTAATTAAAGTGAAAAGAAAATGGCTGTCATTTTTAAACTTGAGCACTAATCTCAAGTTCTAATTTCACACATGGATGCTCATGGGAGTGGTAGAGATAAGGCTAAATCAAAATATTGCAGATGGTCACTTTACAGAAGCCCTCCTATTAACAGTCCTACTCGACTAGTGCTTTTGGAAAAAGATCATTAGAGTGAGGACTTTTTACACTTGCTATAAGACAAAAAACAGCAGCAGAGATTCTGCTCTGCGTCTGCTCTACCCTCATCCATTAACCACTTCAGGGCTGCAGCTTTGAGTGTCCTAGGGAACAGCAATATGATTCAATTTGTCTACCAATGTGGTTTCATTTTCTTTAGCATTAGTTCTGAAGTTGAATTTTTAAGGACAAAACATCTTTTTCTAGCAGTGAAGATGACCTGTAGTAAAGGATTGGATCATTTGATGCATTCTGTTTCTTAATAGCACTACAGTTTTTTGTGAACTGCAACATAACATCCATTTGATCTCTCCTTCCTTTGTATTAGGGACACTGTGTTCACTTACCATTGAGAAGGCCATGCCTGAAGATGGAGGCGAATACAAATGCATTGCTGAGAACGCAGCAGGAAAAGCTGAATGTGTTTGCAAAGTGCTGGTAGAAGGTAAGTATTTGCTGGATACGGGAAAATCCTTCCTGAGAACTTCCTCCTTCCCCCCTTTATTTCCCAACACCAGCCTTTATGAAGCACATATACAAAAAAGAACCCTACCTCCTTCCTCCCTGCACTATTTGGTCAATACATAATTCAGTGTCTACCATAAAGGAGTATGAGCAGAGACAGTGCAGAGCCAAGGGCTCTGGCTGCTTTTTGGAATAATCTATGCTTTCCTGCTACCCACTGTATTTCTACAAGGAATTTACAAGGATTTTGGAGCAGTAAGTTGAACCCATGAAGATTTGCTTCTGAGCTATATACATTAAGAGCATGTAAGAATTCGGTGTGTGAGCCTGGGTACCAGTCTGCCTCAGGACTATGTATGGCACATTTCTCAGTCTAGAACTTTTCAATTCTTTGTATTCAATGACATTTGGTCATTTGTTTATTTCTAGTGGAAGTGGCTAAAAATAAACACATTAGCAGCCTAAGTACCCTTGTATGCCATAGTCTTAGAACACAGATAGTTTGCTGACTGAGGTAGCCATTTTCAGCCTCAGTCGTGCTGAAGACACTGTGCTTTTGACAAGTAGTCTTGACCTTGGGCAAATATTTTTTCATGAGATTGAGAGCACAGTCTTAAAAATGCCATAGACTTTAGGTAATCAAATGTGCATCTTATCAGCTCACTGTCTGGTGAGCTCATCCTTGAACACTCTGTTACTTTTCACTGCAACTGAAAAGAACATAAAATATAAAGAACAAGACCAGTAACCATAGGTATTGAGCCTTCATAACTGTGTTGCAGATATGGTATTTGGGGCAAGGGGTCTAGAAAAGAAAACTGTTATTTGTTTTCCTAATGTAGCATAACATAAGGTAAGAACATGATCCTGTAACTCCATCAGTAAGGGTCAGTCTTCAGCTATTGTTTGTATTTCTTTAATTAAAAGTAATAAATTTTACCAGTGCTGAAGTTCAAAGAAGACTATTAAGAGGAGGCTTTAAGCAAAATCTAGTTCCCTGTAACACCTTAACTAGCACAGGTGCAAAGGATTACAGGATGAGATGATCAAGTGCTTAGCACACTTTTGCATGTGTCAATTACCTATGTGTTTTTTACTTTGAATTCATCTTCTAATCTCCTTCATGTAGTTGCTTTTCTTCCTGAACCCTCCCTTAGCATATTTCCCATTTCCAGTTTCCTGCTGGGCAATGCATGTTCTAGAAGGCTGGAGGTAGGCTTTGATTTGTTATTTCAAATACTTGCTCATGGGAGGCTGACAGCTCAGGGCATACTCATTGTACGATGGTGAATGGTGAATATGGTGTTATATCAGCTGTCTGGCTCACTTTGATAGTGGCACCCATGGCGTAAGGAGATAACTTCATGTAATGGTGGACATCAGTATGACCATATTCTTACCTTGATACTGGCTGCAAAATCTGTCTTTTCCATTCCCTACTGGCATGCTGCATTGTATGGCTGAGAAGAGGTTTCTGAGGAATGGCACCACAGCAAACTCCAACTGTTTAGGAGAGACTCCATTTGATATCCCATGTCTGTGACTGGCAGAAGGGACAACTTATTTTTAACTTAGAATGGTGATCTCAAACAACAGTTAAAATTTCTCACTATTACTCAGTCTGCTGTCAGCATCCCAGATGCCAATTTTTAGACTCAGCAAGTAACCATAAATATATTTCTTTTGGCGCCATGGACTCAAATCAGATTGCAGGAATATTTGACTTCAGATGTCAAATTAGGTCAGGGATAAATCTGTAGAATCTGAGTGTCTGAACTCAGATGTAGCACAGCCTTCTGCTCTGATTTGTTTGCTAGGAGACTCTGTCTTCCTCTGTCAACTTTTTAGGAAACTTAGAAAGATCAGCTTTCATGCTCTGGCATCTAGAAATAGGTGACTAAAATAGGTGACTCTGAAACATTTATGTTATCTATTCTCTGGTAACTAAATTTCAAACAGCTATCTCATGTACAAATCCTCTGAAAGCTGAATATTTGAAAGCTATAAATTGATACAGCTGTTGCTGAGACCATAATCCAGATTTGGAATCTTTCTTCCAAAGAGAAATATCAGGATCAAACAATCTAACAAGTGTAGCTCGTTAGGATTTGCATTATATGACATGCTCTGCCTGAAAAAAGGTTGCACCCTCTAGTTACGTGTGTCTGTCTTCTGGGATACACATGGAAGAGAGCTTGCATTGACTCTCAGCTGTCCATGGAGCCTGCAGTGCTGAGTAGTTGCTGGATATGAGTTGTGCAAACTTGACAGTAATGAAATCCATCAAACTTGAGTCGTGTGGTGTACCTTTTGCCATTTTTCTATAGGAATGAACCGATGTACAATAATAGCTTTTTGGGAAGATTTAAACATACAAAAGAAATGCTGCTTTTCAAAATGTGTTCATCTATATAGATCACATAGTCAATGGAATTGAAGAATGACATGGCAAGACTTTTTTTTTATTAAATGATGCTTCAAGTATGCCTTTGTTTCCCTCTTCCATGCACTGCCTAAAGCAGCTTTGTGCACACTGTACTTAGTTCTGTTCTTAGTTCTTAGAACTGTACTTAGTTCTATCCAGTTAAAATAGACCTATCAGCTTAGATGGTGCCCCTTGTCTAGTTGCTTTCTCAGGTTCTCAGTGCAGCTGCTTTCATAGCGGGCTTCTCCCTCTCTGCTTCCTCTTCCTTTTAGAATGTGTCCTTCTCCAGCAAATCTGTGCAATAAGTCTTTCTTAAAAACCAAAAGGACAGCACTTGGGAGAAAGATCCAAAACAGACTGATGTTAATAGGCAGCTTTTTCATTATTGATTTTTAAATAGGATTTGTATCTTATTATTTGTTTTGATTGCAGATGCCTCATCCACAAAGACCTCAAAGCCTACTGAGAAGAAGAATAAGAAGCCTAAGACCACACTTCCCCCTGTGCTGCCAACAGAGAGTAAGTGACAGTGATTTTGATTACCTCCTTTTCAGTGGAAACAAAAGAGTGCTTTGGGATTATGTGGTCATTCCCTTTTGTTTGCAGGCATAGTATCAGAAGCTTGTGCTGTTTCTTTAACATAAGTCATGTGAAATGAGTTTTTGCTTTGTGGGGATTAGAAGTAAGTGCTGAAACTCTGAGTTTGGACCTAGCCCACTCTATTCTCAGTTTTCCATTATGGAGGAATAAACTTATGACAGAGATTTAATTTTGTCTGCCACCCAATGTTCTGCAGAAATTCTCAAGTAGCTTGCTTCAAGTCGTGTTGTGTCCTGTGCAGACAATGCACTGTCTTACCATTGGTAGGCAAGGTATCTTAACTGAAATGATGTTTTAAAAAAGCATAATCTGTCCTTTTTTCCATGACCATGGGGAGTCGTTTGGTGAATTTTACATTCCTTGTTTTAAGCCTCTATGCTTTACTAGCTTTCAATGCTTCCTGAAATAACAAATCAGCTATAAATTTTCATGTTTGCTACTCTGCATACATATATTTGATTAAGAGGAAACCTTAAATGGTAAAGGCAGCACAATAACATCTGTTTAGAAATTCTGAATACCACTACTACTTTTGAAATTAAGTGTCCATGGTATACGAATATCTTCTAAATCAAACACTGGACTTTGAAAGTTGTCTATCTAAGATGTCTATCTGAGATACCATGCAAGTTCCTAAAAAAAGGACACAGTTCTAATGGAAACATGAAATATTTTTTCAGTGCTTTCTCAAAAAAAAAAAAAGTAACTATCTAATCTGATTTTCCAGCATGGAACATTTTCAGCTGCTTTCAGCAGGAAAAATACTGATTGATGATCCCAGTTAATAATTGTGCTTCTGGAGTTGACTTGCCTTGAGCTATGCCCTGGGCTACAGCTATTTCTGAGTTGCTGGCTGAGTGTTGTAGCTTTTCCTCCAGCCAGTCATTTGGGGGTGTGGGAAGGGTCGCATCGACACACTCCACCTCTGCACCTAGGCTTCAAATGCTGTAAATAACAGCAATTAAGAACAATCATTTTGTTTGTGAACTTAAATAAAAAAATAAAGTTTTAAAGCCATTCAAAGCTCCATGGCATAGTGTTTTGAGTAGTGTTTTCTATGCACACAAATACATTTCCTCTGATCCTCCCAGCAGTGTTATCAACTGCAGCTTTCCCAGGAGAAACTGAGTTGAGAACTAAGTCTAAATATGTGGATATATGACCTAAAAAAAGAAATCACTGCTTGTCTTGCTGTGGATTTTAGTGGTAATTGAATATAGGTAGCAAAACAGAAGCTAGCAACTCTGGCTTCAGAAATGATTGGGAAAAGAAAGTTGAAATAATGGTCAATGGTTTCATTAAGGTTGCTCTGTAGCATATTATCTCGGTGTTTAAAGTTCTTAAACTTCACATAAGCCCTTTTTTAAAGTGCTTTTAAAACATCTTTCCTGTTGCACTGAAAACATCAAGGTAACCAGAGAGAATGTTAGAAAGCTGGGCTTTGGAAAAGCTTTTGGAAAACTTTGGAAAATTAAATATTTAATTTTAAAAGGATTTGGCTGCAGAGATAGCACAAGTGGTTTTTAAAATCTCAGCCTCAGTCTCCAAGGATTGTGGGCATTTTTCTGCCTGAAATGAGTATTATATTTGTACGTTTCTCAGGGGCAAAATATACAAAACTGATCCAGTAGACTTTACAGTTTCAATTTAAACTGAAATTCCTTTCAGATGTAGAAATTTTAAACTTTCTTACCTTAAAGACGATGGGCTTAACAAGTCAGATATTTGTGCATCTTTAATTCTTTCGAAAAGAAAGTTAAGAATGGCTGTGAAGTAAGATGTTTCAATGTAATAAGGAGATAAATTTCTACTCTGATCTCTTCTAGTCTTTGTTGCCACATCAACCCACCAGCAGTCCTAATGGGAAGTAGAGTGTAAGGAATGATATTGAAGAAATAGAGAACAAAAATTCCGAATAATCCCACTGAATAAATTCTGAATTTTGAATGCTCAATTCAGTCAGAACAGTATATACTGTATGGGGAACAGAAGCTATAATACTCTCTCTCGTTTTTAGAAATACTTCTCAAGGGAAAAAACCCAATCATTTTCAATTTTCTGTTAGAAAGTGCAAGTCCAATTTCATGGTTAGCATCTATGTGAACCTTTCTTCCTTTAGAGAAATTATAAGTGATCCTTGATTTTTGCCCTAGTAGAAACCTTCAGGAAAGTCATTAACTTTTAGTTCCTGAAAGCAAAGATCAATACATTTTTTTTTGTGAACGAGAATGGATATTGTCAGTATGTTAATCTGTAGAATCTCTCTCACTGTGAGAATAATTGCTGAACCAGGTCATTTGATTACTCATTCTGACAATGTTATTTTATTACTGAAAGATTGGGTTTTGGAAGCTACAGAAATCCAATAGTAAGTAAAATTTTGTGCATTACCTCTTTTGAAATGCAATGCATACTAGACCTTTGTTTAGATTAAGCAGTTATTCTCAGAAAAACATCTATGAAGGCAGCTTTGTAGCATTCAGTGTTTAATGGTATCTCTGAATGGATGGTTGCCGTGATAACTTGCAGAAAGATTGCTCCCATGCAAGCAAATTATGAAAATTATTCTTTCTTTTTGCTTACAATATATACTCTGTCATCAGAATTTAGTAAAAATTATGACTCTGCAGAATGCAACTCTGTAATGATGAATAGGATAAAAAATATTGTTTCTGAGAATAACAGACAGATCCAGCTTTGAATCTGAGTGAAATCAATCCAGAGGAAGAATGGAAGAAGGACACCTCTTTTTGTAATGTTCAAATTGGTTCATTCTTCACTGACTCTACTGTCTTAGGCTTTGTCACTTGTGTCTTTGCTAGGTGGATGTGAAATGCTACTGAGTTAGAATAATAAAGTGTTATGCTTCTTCTGCACAGATAAAAAAGTCTAAAAGAGGCAGTGGAAAATTGGAACCCTTCATTATTTATCATACTGCATACTCCATGCTATGCTAGCACGATCAGTGGATAATGTAAGGGTCTTCTAGTTTGACATAACCCTGCAGCTGAAATACTAAGCTAAAAAGTCTCACCACTTGAACATTTCTCTAGGGAGCTTTGAAAGCATCTGCTGTAAAGGGATTTGGGCACCCAATTCCTATTGAAATTAGAAGTTACTTCAGATTAGGCTTAAAGGGTACTGCTTATTTAAATTACCAAGGCCACCTGCAAAATCCTCAGCACCTATTAAATAAATGTTTTTGGCCCAACAGAAAGGATCCAAGTGCTGCTTGAGAATTTTAAAAGTAAATAAGGATTTGATGGTTTATAAAGAAATATTCTCTTTTTTAAAAAACGTAGAATCATAGAATGGTTAGAGTTAGAAGGGACCTTAAAGATCATCCAGTCCAACACCCCTGCCATGGGCAGGGACACCTCCCACCAGACCAGGTTGCCCAAAGCCCTGCACAACCTGGCCTTGAACACTTCCAGGAAGGAGGCATCCACAGCTTCCCTGGACAATAGCAGTATTACTACTACACACTTCCTAAAATTTTGTCCTTTTTAACACTGAGGACCAAAACAGCACTAAATCATCACTTGAGCAATTAGCCTCAGATCACACATTCATTTGGAGGCCTAGAACCCAAATTTCTTGATCTTCAGTCTTGTGAATTGTTTGCATGCCACATCCAAAATGCTATAGATTTTTTAAACTGACATCCCAAAATAGTACATAAAACATGAATTTTCCAAAAGGCAGCTTTTTTTTTTCCAAAGTGTTTTTTTTTTTTTTAAGAAGTACTGGAGAAAGAGAAATATTGCAACAGTTAAATGCTATTTCTTAAACTTCACCAGGACTGAGCAAAGCAACATAACTTTACTATAGTAGGAAGAAACTTTATCCCAGTCATTGCTACTGAGAAAAAAATTGGCTTTAATGCTTTAGAAAATAACTCTCCTAAATCTAAGCATTGGATTAAAGTGTTTGGAAAGAAATGCCCACTGTTTTTGTAGGGCTAATTCACAGCACTACTTTCAGTAAACATTAAGAAATGACAACTATCACCTGTCATAATCAGTGGTATGAAAACCTAACAGGATATCCTGCATTCCCTCATCTGAGTAATACACTTGTTAAACCCCCAGTTCTCACTTTCCTCTATTGAAGGGATGACCCAGCACAGAATTTAATTGTACAAATGTAAGTTCTTCTGCTCAGTTAAAAATAAAGTTACATCAAAGAAAAAAACTGCCTCCACACACCTTCAAGTAAAGGGGACCAAAATATATTACTTAGCAGTATTTGGTATCTTGCTGATACAAATCTTTTATATCTGCTACTATTTAAAATCTGTTTGATTTCCTGTCAAACACATTTTTGGTGAAGTAACAATGCATTCTCTTCCTGACAGTTGTTAATAAAATGTCGCCACTAACACTGTCCAGATCAAATCCTCTGGAAGGCTGCACTGTTATCTTCCCACATCTGATTTCTCAACATTGCTGGTACTTGAATGCAAGGCTGTGGAGTGACATCTCTGAAGCAGCAGGTCACAAATGTAAAGATGTCAGACAGGACATTTTATATATTCTTTTCTATAGTGGATTCTAAGCATATTAATTACCATGGAAAAATTATCAGTCAGTGGCCAAGTGATTAGCATGCAGTTCTGTTATTTACTCTTCAATAAACAATCTTGTCAGAGACCTCAAGTCTACAAGCACCATTTTAAGAAAAACGTCATTAAAACATTAAAGTGTCCAGTTTAGATAACATATAACTACATTAGTAAACACTTCAAGTTTTTTCTTTATTTTCCATTCTATCAATATAATATGAAATACAGCACTGGAAAATATAAAATGTTTCACAATCCTCCTTTCATATCAGGTTGTTTCATTCTCAGTATAAAACTTGCCAGTTTCTAAGGGAAGAACTCAGTCACTAAGTGAGTAAATAATCAGGTCAGAGATGTCTTTTAATTGCAGAAACAAGAGCACTGCATAGCAGCTGAGATTTGGTGACCATGCTGCTGTTGTCCCTTTTGGTCCCTGGGATAGTCTGAGATGCTGCTAAGGGTCAATGAGGCCATTCAAATGAGTTCTCTCAGCCTCATTCATTTCCCAGAAGGTCCATGCTGCTCTACTCCTGGCTGTTGCAAGAAGAACCAAGACATTTTCTGCACAATGAGTGCAGTTACCTAATGTGTTTTAACAATATGAGTTACATCGCCAGGAAAGCCTCTGACCAAACCTTTTCAAGGAAAATATTTAGTCTTTTTTTCTAAGAGAAGCTGAAACTTCTTCTTTTAGTGTATGTAAATAAAATTGCCATGAGCTGTTTTTAATACCTAGATAGGATTTCTCTGAAACTCTGAATAATGAAAGGTGGTAACTTCATTCCTCAGCACTGGGGTCCAAGGGTAAGCTGTTGCACAAGGCCAACCAAAGTAGCTGAAGCACAAAGGCAATGTAAGATTTAACTTGGTGACTCTGAAGGTTGGTTGCCTCCACAGATGAAAATTCAGTTACTGCATGTATAAGGAGAACAATGGAGGAACACTAATTTCTTGTGTAAATCACTTTTCCTTGATGCCCAGTTCAGCACTGTTTAGCTAATGCCAGGTATGCATTTTGAATCTCTGCCAGGTTACTTTACAGCTCACACCACACTGACATTTTCTGAGTTAATGTTGGCACAGAACAGTATTTTCCATGTGTTTTTCATACAGTCCATCCTACATAGCTGTGTGTTGACAGAAGAAGACAGAAATGTTTATTGACTGCCTCATGCAAAGAAAAATGAGTACAGTTTTTGCAATGTGGCCTTGAACTGAAGAGGTGCTGTGCACTGTTAAGTGCACCCAGTTAAGTCATTGACTAAAAATTGTAGATCTGGGGCATTTAATAGCAATATTGACCAAAGTTTTTTCTCTATAAAACAGGCATCTAAATCCATTGGCTTAATTAATGTGCAAAAGCACACAACACCTAGCTTTTCCCACTGAAATAATTTGGAGCTCCTGAATGTCCAGATGACCTGGCAGTGCTTTCCTACATAATAGACTGAGTAGCAGGCTAGTAACCTGGCTTAGATTGCTGTTCCTACACACTTGGCAACAGCATTTTAGCATCTAATTGTAGCTGTTCTTGCAGGCCTCGAGAAATATGAAAATTAAATCTATATTTAAGAAATTAACATTGTTGTCTTCCTCCCACCAGAGCTTTTACTGGAATTCATATGACCTGGGTTGTTTATAATCTCTGTTTGATACTGCATCTTTTCTGCACTGCTCAGATTTACTTTAATTGCAGAAATTGCAAAAGCACTGTGCTACTAAACTTTGGAATTGTTTCTTCCTCCAGCCAACCTCTTTGCAAATGCTGAGTTACTTTCAGTGCACTGTGTTGCATTACTGAAGCTCTGAGTGTGCTAGTGTATGCTGGCTCTCTCTTGACTGGAATGCAAGAGTGAGTATTTCCTGGATTTTTATTTTTATTTTGAGAAGGAGGAGGCTGGATTTTTTTAATTAGAGGACAATCTCTGCATGAGTTAGAAACTAAATATGGGATGTTGCAACAAAATGACAGTTGTTTTTAATGAAGAAAAATAAAAGCTATTAAAAACTGTTCTGAAACACGCAAACTCGAATAACTGACTTGTATGGCATTTAGTTTGCTAATGTTTGCTTGTCATCAAATTTAAGCCAGAATTGCTTTCTATTTTACTGTATTTAGATAATAAACAGTTATCTGTAAACAGTGTGAGGAATTTGATCTTTGAGAAGCAATGAAGCAGAACCGTTTAAGCTTTCAAACCTTGATGGAGTTTTCAGGCTACTACTGCTATTGCATTGTCAGTGTCATTTTTCTCTGTAGCAGTTAGCATAGGTTCATGACTGTATGAACAAGTTGATAAGTAATGATGTGTTGTCTTTTTCTACTACAATTGTAGCCATCATCTTTCTCCTATTTCAACTTGTCTGTGCTAAGTAATACCTGAAATGAATTTTTGTACCATCAAGGAAGTCTGTGATAGAAGCAAGGGTAGAACTGAATAATTCATTGCCTTGACCACAAGGCCAAGTGTTGTATTTTTTTCTGTACTTCTAGTTCTCAGTCACTCCATGCTTTCTAGTATAGCAGTGAGTGGTGAAGCTTTACAGACAACAGTCACCTTTGATTCAGACCCTGAGGTCTATCCCCAGAAGGGACTGAAGGAGGTTACACTGTGATTTGTTTACATGTGGGAGACAGAGCTTCATAATGTCACATCCCACACATCTGAAGCATCCAAGTGAGACGGGGAAGAAGGAGCAGAGACTTGAATCTGGGTTTTCCATCTCATATATAAATATTCTTGTTACCATGATATCTGACACGTTACAGACATGACTTCTTTTTTCAGTTTCTGTTAAAGGAAACTCTGAAAAAAACCACCTAATTTAGTTCCTTTCAGAAGATGAAATCTCGAAAGTTTTTGGATGAGGGGAAAGTGGTTTCCTATGTGACTATAGTATTAGAGTGTGTCATTAGCCCTTCTCCTGTCCTGAGCTCAAACAAGGCTATTCCACAAGCAGACAGAAGCAGGGAAACATCTTGCTCCTTATGTTAACCGAGTTAGGTATTTACTGTACTTGTTTACCAGGTGCTGAATTCATCACTATAGGAAACATGTGCATAATTTTAGGCATATCCCTCAAGAAAGACAGCAGGATTTATGGACTAGTTGGAAATGCTATCTTGAGTACTGATGTTTTTTTCAGAGTGTAAGAGTTTTGCTTCATGCTTTATGAAAGCAAGTTGTGCAGACACCCATTTCAGGGGAGGGCCATGCCTATTTTTAGTAAAATTCCAAAAAAGGGAAACAAAAAGAAAGACAGAGGCTTCTGCACATATCTGCTCTCACAAATTCAACATCAGGGCAAAGAACGGCACAACCAAATGTCTCCTAGCTATCAGCCTGTATAGGATCTTTCCCTTTTTTAGTTTATGTCCCCCCACACCACAGACACAGGCTCTCTTAGAAGCAAACCTGCCTATAAAGTTATGTAAATACCAGCCTTTTAATGTTTACATTAAGTTGTTTCTAGAAGGCAGATTCATTTAAGGAGGGAATAATATGTACTTTTTCTTCCAGGCTGATTTTCAGCTTCAGTGAGTTTCAATGTAAATATCAAAAGAGAGACAAACTGTCTTTTTTTTTTAAAAAAAAAGCAGCAGAGGCAGTTTTGAACTAACATTTCCAAGAGGCTCAAATATTTAAATGAAAACAATCATTTGACCTTGTCGACTTTTGGGTAATCTTCTTAGTTTTTTTTTACTAACTGTCTCCATCAGCTTTTGAAAGAAAAGTTGCATTTCAAAAAGATGCATGAGATGAGCTGGTATTCTTAAGGAAGATCTAAGAAGTGGATCTGTAGGCTAGTGGACTGTACACTATTAGCCAGAGAAGTCAGCTTCATAGACCCAGAGACTTGTCCTTGCACCCATCCCCTTCCACTCTGCCCCTGCCTTTCTTTTCTGCTCAGGGCTATTTGTGTCTGCAAAACAGGATATTCAGCCAGACCTTCCAGCAATCCTTTGCAATCTGCATGGTTTGATGAAGTCCAGTGACAGTGTGTATATCCTCAGTTAAGTGACTGTAATATCCTGGTGGGTAAAAATTAAGAATTAAACCAAAAAAATGTATTTGCATATAAAAAGCAGTACCCTAGCTGAATGAGGTGATGTGTTCATGTTCTTTGCTTTGTTGTTATGGAAATCTTCATTTTGGTGAGAGCCTTTTAAACTGGCTTAAGCATAGCCCGTAGTTATTCCAGGGCTAGGAGGGACACCAGGCATTCATTCCACTTACAGGGTAAATGTAGTACCTGGTGATTCATTATATATCCTAGCCTGTATAGAAACATTGTTCTTTAACATTGATGAATTGAAAGTAAGTGACATGAATGAACAAATTATGTTATTGGGATCCCTTCCGTGATGAACTGGAAGTGGCTGATAACAGGCAGAGAAAAGTGAGAGGGGTGTTTGAGTGTATGAATATCCATTCTGTACATGTATTGTGCAAAGGCAGAGAATGACATTGTCAGTCAGAAGGAAAAAAATGCCTTGAGGTATTAAGAGTCAGAATGAAACATGAACATTTGGAAAGTGTGATGACTCCATCAGCACCTTGCTTATCCACTAAGGTAATGCAACAAGTATTCAACGTAGGCCAAGAGGTGATAACTGAGTGAAAATCATACTGGATTAAGAATTTGCTTTTCCTCCTATTTGGCTGCAGTGACATTTCTGAAAAATAGCAATAGTGTCTGCGGTCCAAGATGGGATTTGACAAGTGGTGCTTTTTTCTCGTCATTGGTGCTCTTCGTTCATATCAGGCTTAATAGAGTGTGAAAGTAATCAAATTCATGTCACTGCTTTAGCTTGTATTAAAAGCCATGATAGTTTTGAGGAGACACTCAACAGCTATTTCAGTCTTAGTTTAGAGAAGAACAGAAAATCTGATACCAAATACAGCACACACACACAAAAAATATTTGATTTTGAATCATATAACTGACTTAGTTTCATGAGATTATGCATCTAATTAATAACTAATGGATTACTTCCATTAATAGGATGTTTAACAGACTTTGCAGCCTTTCCAGCTGGCACCTGATAATATAGTTTCCTCCATGTAACCATGACTATAGCCTGAAATAAATGAGAGTTTCAGCTCAGGATGTGACCACACAATGACAAAGAGGAAGGCTGCTTTGAAAACACCACTTGTTGCCTTTACTCATACAGCTTGGGCAGGGAAGAGGAGCTGGAAATATATTTGCTGTCACTTACTGCAGCAGCCAGGGCACATGTCAATTTGTTGGTGGCCCAAAAAGTAATGGGTCCCTTTAATGAGCAGTGGTGCTCTTTGAAGGCCTCCATTTAAACAGGGTTAAGCCCACATAGAAGATGTGGCACGACAGGAACCTAGCTCATACCCTGCTGGTCTGCTTACAGTGGGATAAACACCTCACAAGTACTAATCTAAACCTTTAACTAGTTGTGTTAAGCTGACAGTCATTGAAGAAAGGCTTCCTTGAGACATATCCAACTGTTCTTTTTTGACTCAGCCATAAGTACTGCAAGAATATCCTACCTCTGCAGTATTGTGTTTCTGGTTCCAACAAAATCCTTAAAGACAGCGCATATAAAAGCTAAGCATACTTTGAGAGCAAATTACTATGAAATTAAATTTTACAAAAAGAAGGTTGTGACAACTTCTTCTCTAGTCAGGTTATAGTGAAATATTCCCCAGAATGAACTGAAAAAACACTGGTGTTAACAGCTGAGCCACTACATATTTATTGAAATATCCAGTTTTTTAACAGTCTATAGCACATCAGTTACTATCTCCAGTGACTCGAAAACTTAAAACTAATATTCGTCTCTGTCTGTTGTTTGAGCTATAACATTAGACTCCCACGGCGGGTTCACAGCTCATGGCTCCTTATTCATGGGGCATCAGGTGATGTGCTCCCTGGGTATCCTGCACAGCTTGTAGTTTGCTGTAGAAAAGGGGGTTAAAATAAAAGACTCTCTTTATTGGTTTGGTGGATTTTTGAGGATATTTTTGCTGCTCGGTGTCTAGCTACTTTGAAATACTTTAAGTAAGCAAAAAACCAAAAATTTCAAACCTTTTGAAACTGTTATGGATACCGCTAGGCACCTATGTATATGCTGTCAGATATTCAAAAGCACTTAGCAGGTACTGCCCCTGCTGGAGGCAATAACATCTTAAAAACCAGACTACTTCCATCAAGCCTACTTGAGCACAAGAAAATAAGAAATGTCCTTTCACAGCAGAGGCCATTCTCTCAAAAGGATGCTTAGGATAGCAGATAAAAAGAGAGTGCTCTAAAAGGAATGAACCCCTCTAGTTCTGGAATTCAGTGGTTAGAAGGCATCCAGACTCTTACATTTAATGGCCACCACTGGACCTAACTCCTATGAATGTGTCCTTTTGAACCTGTTTATATTTTTGTCTTGCAAAACATTACTTGTCTGTGAACCTAGCTTATGCATGCTGTATTTAAAAATACTTCTTTTGTTTCTTTTATGCCTGCTGCCTGGTGATTTAATTGGATGGCCCTTAGTTCTTTTTTTGTGCAAAATATTTAATAGTCATTTTCTGCCTACCTGCCTTCTCCACTTTATTTCTGTCTGCCATTCACAATTTGTAGAACATTGTCTTCCCAATAGATACGTGTCCAGGTTTCAAATTCTGCTTTAACCCTTCCTTTTGTGAACATAGCAATAGGTTTTTCCTGCCTAGGAAAGCGGATGAGGCAGCGGGTTGATACTGGTGTTTACTGCCTGTATAGCACTGGTTTTTTGCTAGCTCAGAAGTGCTGTAAAAAGCAGTATGTGGTGTTAACTACCCTAGTTTTAACTGACCTCATTCAGCATTGATTATGCTGGAAATCCGATCAGAAATTCAGTATGAGATGGATCTTTGCCCTGTGTTTTCACCCCAGTTAAACTGCTAAAAGGAACGGAGTGTGACAGAGTATGGGAGATGCATAGCAGATTGCTTTGATTTTTTCTTAAAGTTCTAGTTTCAACTGTGAGCATGATTCAGGGTAATAAAAGTGGTTTTCTAAAGTATTTTTAATTCTTGAGTTTAATATGCTGAAAGAACATACTAGATTTTCAACTGCCAACAAAGCATCGGTATGGAGGTAAGCTTTGCAGTTAAGCTGGTGCCTTCCAAAGCTCAACTTTGAATTAACTTTTTTTTTTTAACTAGGTGAAGCAACAGTGAAGAAGAAACCAGCCCCAAAGACTCCTCCAAAAGCAGGTAACTTGTTGCATGTGTCATTCTAATAAATAATAAACCAATACAGTTTGAAGGAACAGACACTACATTTCTAAGTACAGCTGTTTGCCTACTGAATTTGTTTCCGTACGCTATTAAATGGTATGAAGTTCTATGAGGAGAAAACTGGAAAGCAAAGTCCAATTTTCAGACTCGTTCATAAGTTTACATTGTGCTAAGACTTAAATTATTAGCACGCAAAAAAATTACTATCAAGGAAACTGTAGTAAGATTCTGCCAAATGTCAGCAGTAGTGTTGTAACAACACACCTTAGTCTTCAGTGAAAGAGATTTTTCTCTGTGTCACAGAATGCCACCTCTGCATGAGTAGCTACTACAGACAAGTTGATAGATTCTACTTTTCGTCATAACTGGCATTATGGTAACCTGCTCACGTGTTTGCACTCTCCTAGCTAAAGCTAGCTGTATTTAGTTACCCAGAATGTTCCTTTATAGAAACCTGCTCTCAGTGTCTTAAAACTTTTTCAGACTTTTAAACTGTTCAAGCTGTTTTCTTTACCAGATGCGTACCTCAGCCTAGCTTCCTTCAGATGTTTTCAAAACAAACACACTTCTCAAAGAACAAGTCTGGGGGGGCGAGGTGGAACTCCACTTTCATTTGATTACACTGAAAAGAAAAAGAATGCACTGTTTTCATGCCCAGTAGCCCTGTGCTTTGGAGTGAAATGTTACATTTGGCAGTGAGGTCATTCTAATGTGAGGGAATGCCTTTTACAAATATTTCTGTCAATGTGTCCTCAAATCTATCCCCATCTCTCAGACACCTTGTTTTTCCCAAAATATTTTTTTATTGTGCTGCTCCTGTAAAGCAACTGAACAGGTTTCACCCTGGAGCTGTCCAAGCTGTGATATTTCTGGCATCTGTCCCTAGCAGCTACCAGGGATCTGGCACACTCAGCATCACAACCAAGAGTCGGGAAGTAGCACTGTTAGCAAAAGAGGTGTTCTGCCATCTATTGATGCTCGGGCAGTGAGAGGGAACAGGAAAAGAAACACCTGAGCATGAGTGAGACTGAAAGATTTATAAGCAGCACTGCAATACACAGACAAAAGGGTCTGTCATTGCTCATGGGAAAATTGAGGTGATGAAGAAAGATGTCCATTTCCTTCCTTGTCTCTCTAACAGATGTCCCACATGATGATTACCTGGCTGCTGAAGCCAGAATCTTAATAGGCGGGTGCTGAGTCTTAAATTTTCTGAACTCTGACATTAGGGGGCAGGTTTGCAGAACCCCCTCAGCACTTGCAAATTGACATGAAGTTAGCTGGAGCCATTCTTCAAAAGCACAAAGTGCAAAAGAAAAAAGTTTTTCTGAAAAATCCAACACAAAATTTCATAAGCTGTATATTTGGAATTGGTGCTAAGTCTTAACACTTTTGGCCTTTGAATTTCTGTACCTTGTTCTTGCATGAGGAAACTTCTGATAGGTAGATTGTTATTGCTTCACTACAGTAGAAATAATGATGTCCACAGAATTATTTCATTGCAAGCAACAGATAACTGCTAATCTGGATTTCAAATGCTGCTCTGAAACTGTTGAGCTGAGATGTATGTGTTTAGAATTTTAAGAAAAACAGGAAGTATAATCACCTAAAGAGAGATTTTTGTTTTTTTCATCAGCTACTCCTCCTCAGATCACTCAGTTCCCAGAAGACAGAAAAGTCCGTGCAGGTGAATCAGTGGAATTGTTTGCCAAGGTGGTAGGAACGGCACCCATAACTTGCACGTGGATGAAATTCCGTAAGCAGGTAAATTGTTTTCTGGTCTGTTTTAACAATCACTGAAAAAGTGGAGCTGGAAAGGAACTCCAATGACCTATCTTGTCCATCTCCCTTCCCCTGGAACTGGCAAAGTCCATGTCATTCCTGCCAGATGTTTTCCTCATCTCTACTGGAAACATTTCAATGATGAAGATTCAACGATCTCCATTAGCAACATATTGCAGTGCTTAAATATGCATAATGTTTGAAATTTTTTCCTAATGCCAAGCCCAAATCTTTCTTGCTACAGTTTACATGCATTGCTGACTGTCCCCTCCTATAACAAATGACTGTTCCTTTGAGAAAAGCTTTAAACCATGTAATTAAGGGATAGGTAATGTGAAAGATATAGGTATCTGAAATGTATCTGTCACAGAAAATGATTCTCTCCTTCAAAAATAACCTCTTTTTTATTGATGCTTGGTCTCAAGTTATATCAGAAGGACAAAATGCCATATGAGAATCTTGAGTGAAATGCCTTACAAAGCAATATCACCATGAAAGGCACAGCAGCAATTATGCTACTGTGAGTGTCCTCACACCCTGGGTTTAAAGATCCTTCTTCTTGAATTAATTTCCTTGCATTGTATCACATGTTTCCATTAAGCATTTTCTAAAGAGAGTTGCTTTAGCGAATAATAAACCCACTTCAAATCAAATAACCCAACATGCAAGTACAAACTGGAAAATGAAGCGCCATGTTATGGTAGAGCAAATATAAATATATACTGTGGCTGCTATTCTGTTTATTTTATTCTGAACTTGTTATGCACTCTATAGAACATAAATAAAAACATCTTCTCCTACAAGGAAGTTCAGGCACTAAATCCAGATGTGTCAGCATTTAATTGAAAGAATTCAAAACAGTTTGCTAGTGCAAAGGGTATTCCAGGGTCTATCTTTCCTAACCCCAAATAACCTCTTCAGTGGAAAGGACAGTTTTTTCCTGAACTCTGGAGTTAAAAGGTGGTCTACTCATTTCTGCAAAAATGGGTCTCAGAAGCTCCAGTGACATTCACTGAGCTCTGTCTTAACATGTGGGTAAAATGTAACCCATGTAACTGTAAAGTGAGTTTCTGGTTTGTGCTGAATTCTGAGTTCATTGTTGAATACAACAATCCTGTTTACATAGATTTCAAGGCCATTTTTATATACAAAATCTATGTGATAACTAAGACCAGCAGCTCATAATACCCATATCAGATCCATAATTTGTGAAGCTACACTCTTTTTCCTTTGTAGAATGTTTTCTTTTACCATCTTTATACTTTCTTCTTTAATTATTCACTATGAGACAATCTAAAGGTTTGCAAAATCATACATTAAAATTATATATAAATTTTTAATGTTTCGTTATGGCAGGTGAATGAGATAGAAAAGAAAAGAAAAACTTCAAGGAGGTTAACAAACACTGCAGGAGGAGAAGTGAAGGCAGAAGTCTTTCATTAATTAACTTAATTGCAGAGCCAGTTACTGTGTACTGTGCTGCACCATTATTTTGCTTTCTTTTTCACTTATACTTCACCACACATAGCTTTATTTTTGGATTTCTTCCTATTCTATAAACGTGGTTGCTTTAAACTCTGTTCTATTCCCAGTTCTAAAAGTGAAAATCACCCAAGTGTTCTTATAATTTTCCTGGGGGCCATCTCTAGTAGTTATTTGAGCAGATGCAGTAAGTGGTGAGTTGTGATTTCAGCCCTGCCACTGTATGCTGCAGCATGCAGGAGGGACTTGTCCTCTCCATGTTCCTTCCTGACACACTCTCAGGTTCAAGAGAGCCACAGTGGCCTCTCACAGGTGTATTCTGGACAAACGTCTTTTGGTTGAAGAAAAGGAATGTCACAAAGTTGTGACCCATACTGTTGTACTGACGGCAGTCTAGTGGAGGGATGCTGGAACTGTGCTCAAGTGAAAAGCGGAAAGCCTTTGAAAGCCTCTTCGTTAGTTGAGGAACAAAGTCCATCGTTTAACATTGCCAATTGTTGAAGCTTCTTAACTATGACCTGTGACTTTATTTTGGGAACAGAGGGATCCAGTTTCTTGTTCCCCATAACAATTGCAAGCCACTGAGCATCTTTTCGGGCCTTCCCCTGCATAACGCAGATCTAGTTCTACTAGAGTGATTTTTTTTATTATTACTAATATCCTTTGACTAATTCGAATGAAGCAAAACATAGAAGCCAATGTAGAATCTCAGAAGAACAAAGTACAGGGGCAGAGGGAACAAATTTCAGTATAATTTAAACTGAGATCCTACATAATCCCATTTGCTAACTTTCTATTCGAGTTACTGTAGGAGCATCTTTCTCAGGTTACATTTGGGCATGTAGTAATGAATATTGAGGAGAAAGCGGGGAAAGTCCTGCTCTTAGCCTTGTAATTTCTTATTCTTTGAATATATGAGGCAAGATAAGGCAAACTAAATAGCTTTCATTTTTAATGAAATTCTGAGAATGAGTTGGAAGAGTCACTTATCTAAAAAGGAAGTGGTGGGAGGAAGAAGGGCATTGACATTATGTTGTCTGTTTCATAAGAACACAGTGTACAGCTTCTATAATTGCAGTGTAGCATTATGAGGTTTTTAAATAATCTGTCATGTCTCAAACTAATACTGATTAAAATCTTCATCTCGTTAGCCATTTATGCTATGACAGCTTTGTTTCAATTAAAAACTAGTTCATAATATGCTCATGGTATTCAGCTGAGATTTTGATTTTTGCCTCTCCAGAAAATAAAAATGCTATAGGAAAGCTACATCTGCTCTCTGTATGTCTCTCTGTACGGCTGTAGCATTACATCTCCATTTCAGACAGCATCATCTTCAATTGTTCAAACCCAAGAAACTTACCCTGAGTTATGTGGAAGTACAGAAAAAGGCTGGTTGGGACAAGAGGGTGAAAGCCCCCGTTGTGGATGATTTGCACATTGGGCCTCTAAAGGAGAGTGGCAGTTGAATTAGGGCATTTAGAGCTAAACCCTTGTTCCACTGTGGTCACTGTGAGATATGTGAGACCAAACTTTGTTTTTGTGCCAGTTACACAGTTTGAGCTTTCAGCCTGTCAAAGAGGAGTTAGAAAGTGAAACTCCTGTTGCTTAGTGGAGTCCCAGCAGCACCAATGCTCCTGTTGCCTTTGCAGGACTGGAGCCTGCATTTCCACTGCATTTCTACCTGCTTTGTGTTGATTACACTCTTTACCAGCTGCACCTATTCACTGCTGTAATAGTTACCTGCAGATAACACTCATTATCATAACCTTATATTGTAATTGGAGCTCTTTCAGATATGAAGAAATTTATCCCATAAAATATTTTTTTTCAATTTGGCAGATTGAAGAAAATGAATATATGAAAATTGAGAATGGTGAAAACAGCAGCAAGCTAACAATATCATCGACAAAGCAGGAACACTGTGGATGTTACACCCTAGTTGTAGAGAACAAGCTTGGCAGCAGACAAGCACAAGTCAACCTTACAGTTGTTGGTAAGTCCATAATAATGTTTTAGATAGATACTTATTCTTTAGACATCACTCTACATTTGCTTTATATATGATGAAATTAAAAAAAAATAAGCAGATAAGACTGAAATGCAAAAACAATATCTTAAAAAATATCTGCACTGGACAGTGACATGGTAATAAGGATTACAAGCAAGTTCAGTAGGGCTGTACTGTGTTTTATTTTGAAAAATTACTAATTACAGATGCAAGTACAAAATAGCTCAGAATTAAAAAAAAAACCAACACAAAACCAACACAAAAACACCCAGTTCATGTCTCCATTTTTTTGTTAGACACCACTTCTTTTTCCCATTTAAGGTTTGCAGCAACCAGATGTTTGCTAGACTGCAAGTTTTTAAACTGTTAGTTCAGGAAGAATTGAGGTGGTTTCTATTAGATTGTAAACTTGAAAACATCCTGTTGCTTGGGGGAGGGAGATTTTATCCTTTTAATTGAAATTCCTACCATTGTCTACTGTTTTGTATTGACAGAAAGCAGTGAGTACAGGCACCTTGTTTTGAATATGGAGTCCTTCGTGTATGTACTTTTACACATGTATATTTTAAAGCTTCAAACAGCCTTGCCAGACCATATTCAGGCCATCATGTTTGCTGCAGCAGGCTGTGGACAGCTGCAGACAGTTGTAGACTGGTAGACAGCTGCAGTAGGTTTGGAGCTAAAAGTGCAGTTAAAAGTGCAACTGTCTAGACCAGATAGTTGAGCATCAGACAAAATCTAGAGCTGTGACGTCTGGCTCTGGAAGGGCTAATGAGCCCACTTGGTGTAGATACACAGCAAATGGTTTCCAGGAAAATCTAGGCAAGTTCTACAAGCAAAGAGATTTGATTAAAACGTTACTCTGCTTCCCTCTAACATGTGTCTTTAATATACTGAGGGGGTTATCTATGGCCTGTAGAGGGGTCTTGACACAAGATGGGAGAGAGCAGTGCTTACCCAGGCATTTGGACAAATTCTAGTTCAACTAGTGAGGCTGCATCCTATTCACACACTCATAACTGCATTGGTTCTGCTGTCCTAACAGATATGTGGGCTGGCGAGCAAATAAAGAAATGCAAATATAAGGCCAAAGATTAAAATCTGACTCCAATGAAATCAGTGGCAAAATACCATTAACTTAAGTTGGGCTGGAAATTCATTCCAGCAATCCAGTGAATAACATACAAAGTTTAATGAGTAATATCACACTTTCAAGTACAATATCCATTGCTAAGGAGTAAATGTTCCTCAGCTACGTGCTGCTGCACATATTGTCAGTAAAAGCCTCCTAATAATATAAAATTAATTTCTTTCATCTAATCTGTGGCTTTTGTTGCAGTTAAAAGATAACTGAATGAATGAGTATAAACATCAAGTAGATTCCAGCAAAATGGCAGAGAATTCAAGAACAGAAACAAACAGAATAAGTATTTTTCACATGATGCATAGATAAACTGTACTACCCCTTCCAACAGTGGGTTGTGCAGGTCGGAAGGGTAGCTAGGTTAAAAATAAACACCATTAAAAACTGGTCCTTGAACAATCATCATATACATTGTTTTGGGTACAGCTTTTGTAAAGCTCCAAAGCCCCGGCACAGCTGATTAGCAGCCAGAAGAATGGCAGGAGATTAATCGCTCTTTATATTTCCCTTTTTTCACT